CGTTGAACCAAGACAAACGATCCTGCAGATTGATGTGAATATTTTCGGGGAAATCCCAAAATTCCCCATGATCTTCTGCTGAGCTTAGAGGCTGGAGAATTTTTTTATTTTTTTATTTTTTTTGTACAGTTTGATTTGAGGTTTTATTGTGTTTATTGTGATTAGTTGGAGCCGTGGAAATGCTATAGAGAAAGAAAAGAAAAGAAAGAAAGAAAGAAAGAGAAAAACTTTACCCTCCCTTCCAAATCTTCCATAATTTCTATCCTTCCTTCTATAATTACTACAATGCAGTGTACTTAACTCGGAGAAAATTCCACAGAGAAAAAAGAAAAGAAAAGAAAAAAAATACACTTTACCCTCCCTTCCAAATATTCCATAATTTCTATCCTTCCCTCCTAGTACTACTACAGTGCAGTGTACTTAACTCGGAATAAGGATGAGGAAAACAACAATTATCATAATAATGGCTAATAATAATAACAATAATGATAATAATTATCTCCCTGTTTTCCATTCGTCTCTCCCCCGGCCGGAGATTCTCTTCTCTCTTTTTATCTATTTGTTTTTCGCACAAACAGCCTCATTATGTCCCTTTCCTGTTCGTAGAAAAATCAGAGCTAACTTTGAGATGTGTCAACAGCGTAATTTAAAGACAAAATTGTAGAGAAAAGTCTTAAGACCTTTCGTTAATACCGCGCCTCTCTCTCTCTTTCTTTCTCTTTCTCTCTCTCTCTCTCTCTCTCACTCTCCCTGTGCCTCCCTCCCGCCAACCTTCCCTCTCTCTCTCTCTGTGTGCCTCCCTCCCTCCAACCTTCTCTCTCTCTCTCTCTCTCTCTCTCTCTCTCTCTCTCTCGACCCTAGTGCAAATAAGTTATTGTCGACTCGCCAATTAAATCATTTACGCTACGGAGTCCAGTTTGAGAATCTGTGTAGCAGTGTTGGTTTTAATCAATCCAAATTTGGTTTTATAATTAGCATGGTCTCTTGCAAAAGCATAGAAATCTCCCAGGTGATTCTTTATGAGATTTAATTGTCAGAGCAAGACCTAACAAAAATGAATAGGGGAGCTTTGTTGAACTTTGCTGGCATGTGTAAAGTGTGAAGGCCGCAGCAACTCTCCATTTAGTTCATTTAAACAATAAAATAAAATCTTGACATGTCTTATCTTAAAACTTCTTGACTGTTTGCAAATATATATATATAATATATATATATTATATATATATATATATATATATATATATATATATATATATTCATGGTCAGGTATTTCCCTTTCACACCATACGCATCTCACGGCCACGAGCCAGAGGAACCCAACTCATGAGTCACTGCCACGTTGGTGGCGCCACAGGCTCTGTTTCAGAATTATTTCCATATATATATATATACATACACACACACACACACACACACACACACACACACACACACATATATATATGTATATATATATATATATATATATATATATATATATATATATATATATATATATGTGTGTGTGTGTGTGTGTGTGTGTGTGTGTAGTGTATGTATGTATGTATAAGCCTTCACCTCATCTTAACTAAACTGGTTGAATGGGAAAAGCTGCTGTAATATTAAAAAAGATACACATAGCTGTTAAGTTTAGAAAGAGAGTAAACATCAGAACACACACACATACACGCACGCATACACACACAAACACACACACACACGCATACACACAGAAAACACACACACAACACACACACGCATACACACAGCACACAACACAACACACACACACACACACACGCAACACACGCTACACCATCAGACACACACATACACACACGCGCGCGCGCGCACACACGCACGCATACACACACATATATATGTGTATAAACATATATATATGCATACATATTCGTATAACATACATACATTTGATATATATATATATATATATATATATATATATATATATATATATATATATACAACACACACACACACACACACACACACACACACACACACACACACACACACACACATATATATATATATATATATATATATATATATATATATATATATATATATATATATATATATATATATATATATATATATATATATATATATATATATTATATATATATATATATATATATTATATATATATATATATATATATATATATATACATACATATATATATATATATATATATATATATATATATATATATATATATATATATATATATATATATATATATTATATATATATATATATATATATATATATATATATATATATATATATATATATATATATATATATATATATATATATATATGAAAAGCATTTGCATACAGAGATTTACGATAATCACCCTTTTATTCACCTTCTCCTTTTAGGCATCGATCTCCCAGATCCTCGCTTCCCCTTGCCCGGTCACGGCGAGGCGATCCGTCTCCTCTTATCCGGAATCAAAGGGATTTGCACTCCTCGGCCGCCTCCTCTATCCGGATTCAAAAGGGATTTGCACTCCTCCGGCGATCCGGATTCAGGGTTTGCACTCTCCGGCCGCCCTCGTCGGTTGTGGGATGTCCCCGGCCGTCGACTGGAATCGGCGGGAGGTCCGTTCGGTTTTTTTACGGTCGTCGAACCAGGTGATGCTTTGTTATCGGGGTTTGTGGTTTTAAGGCAGAATGAGATTTTTTTTTTTTTATGATCTATTTATTTATTTATGTTTATTGTTATTGTTATTATTTTGTTTATTAATTAATATTATTATTATTGTTATTATTAATTATATTATTAATTTATTATTTTATTGTATTATTATTATTATTATTATTATTTATTATTATTCATTTTATTCATTATTCATTATTATTTATTTGTTATTATTTATTAATTGTTGTTTATTTGTTTTTATTATTATTATAATTATTATTATTATTGTTATTATTATTATTATTGTTATTA